TACCCGTGTCCCACCCATGCCCATGTCCCCCCAGTGACCATGTGTCTCTCGTGTGTGCCCCATGTCCTTGTCCCTCCCGTGCCCATGTCCCCCCGTGCCCATTGTCCCACTCATGTCCCACCTGTGTCTCCCCCCGTGCCCTACCCGTGTCCACGTCCCACTCGTGTCCCCCACCATGCCCATGTCCCATCCATGTTCCCCCTGTGCCCATGTCCCACTGGTGCCCCTGTCCCCCCAGCTGGGCCTTCCTGGAGGTGGCCACCAACGCCTCGTACAATGACACCCTGCAGGCCTACGCTGCAGGGCTGGCCGAGGCTGCCGTCTCCGAGCAGGTAAGGGGAGACCCCTCCCAAACCAGGTTCACAAGGGGTGCAACAGGGTCCCTTGCCTAGGCTGACCGCCACCGGTGACACCGCTGCCATGTCCCCCAGCTGATGTACATGCACTGGATGAACACCATGGTGGGCTACTGCGGCCCCTTCAAGTACGAGAGCGAGTACTGCGAGAAGCTGCGGGACTACCTGGAGGCCAACCTGGGCTGGATGGAGGAGCAGATGGCCACGGGGGAGGACCCCGAGTACTGGCACCAGGTGAGGAAGGGGTACTCTCACACAGGGTGAACCCCTTGACATCCCTCTGGGCTAATTGGACTTTTAATTGAGAGGAGGGGACGGCAGCGAGGGATGCCTGGGGTCCTGGCTGCGCTCCAGGTGGGATGACAAGGATATTGCTGCCATGGATCCTCCTCCCCTGGGTGACCAGAGGGGACTCGTGACCTTCTCCATGCTGGAGCCTCACGTACCGCTGTTGTGGTGCACAGGGGGGGGCTCAACCCCCACTGGCCACTGGTGCTGAGTCATGGCCCTGCTGACGGCAACACTTGCCCTCCCTGCTGCCTCCTCCATGCTGGGACCCACCGGATCTACTGCATCCCCAGAGGAAGGGGAAAGCCCTTCCCCCCCCGAAACCCCTCACGCCTCGTCCTGTGGGAGCCAAATGCCAGATCTGTCCCTTGTCTCCCAGGTGCACCTGGCGCTGCTGCAGCTGAAGGGCCTGGAGGACAGCTACAATGGACGCGTGGACTTTCCCCGGGGCAGGTTCACCCTCTCGCCCTTTGGCTTCCTGTAAGCTCCTTCTCAGAGGTGATGACGATGCGGGGTGATCGCCTCAGGGGTTGGGGTGCTTCTTGCAGGGTGCATGGGGACAATTCATGGATGTGCAGAGACACCCAGGTCTGCTCCCAGTCCCCCTCACCCACCTTCTTTGGGTACTCGTCCTCTGCTGTGGGGACAGGATGGAGCCAAGGTTCTCCTCCGCAGCACCGTGGGCTGCGTGGTGGGTCCCCCCAAGGCCCACTGCAGCCCCTTGCCTTAGTTTCCCCACTGCTGTGCTCATCCTTTTTCCATTCTCAGGCTGCTGGGGTGCTTGCGCCTGCACCGGGGTGTGATGGAGGAACAGCTCTAGCTGGGGTGTCCCGCCCCTGATACCCCATGTCTCGTGTCCCCCAGCCTGCTGCAG